TAAAAACATTTTTAGCCTTTGATCCTTTGAATAAACTCTGCTCTTCCTCTCTCTCATCTCTTTCTGGACCCCTGTATTATAAGTGTAGTCTGTTTGACAGTGTGCCATAAGTTCCATAAACTATATTTACTCTTTTTAACTTATTTTTCTTTATGTTCCTCTGGTTGGATGAAATCACTGCCCTGTGATTTGACTTATCCTTTATTCCTGGCCTGCTATTAATTCTTCAGCTGAATTTTTCCATGCTGTCATTAAATTCTGCTCTATGATTTGTTGGTACCTTCTTACATTTTCCATCCATTTGTTAAAATTCTCACTTTACTTGTGCATTGTTCTGAGCTATCATCTTTAATTTATTTTGAACTCTTTATGAAATAAGTTCCTTATCTCATTTAATGAAAGTATTTTACTGGGCTTTTATTTGTTCTTTTTGTATCATATTCTTGTTTCTTTATTTTCCTCAGCGGTGTTGGTTTAAGTACATTAAATAAAACAACCTTTCTCCCAATCTTTAGGAATGGTCTTTTGTAGGAAATAAACCTATTGTTGAGCCCATTTGAGTTCTTGAGTGTCTCTCAAACCTTTGTGACCATCCAAGCTGCCTTCTTTATTGAGGAACAGGACATACTTGTCTCTAGAGACAGGCTAGTGATACCTGAACTCACTGGCACCAGTTGGGAAGTAACAGCTCTGGAGAAGCTGGCAAATGAACTTTTTTCTTCTGCACTGGGCCTGTATATGGGACACCTGGTTCCACTACAAAATCCTTTGTTTACTATTGTCCTACGATGTTTTTAGTCTATCAAAGCTGGGCCATCTAGGGGCCCATTCCTGGAGTGTCAAACGTGTGCACAACCTTCTAATAGTGGAGACTTGACTTGGAGAAAGCTAAAGAAAGTGCACAGTGCACATTCCCACATGGTTCCCTGCTAGCAAGAGAGATCATAGCCAGTCTTTAGGCATGCGCTGAGCTTGAACCACTCTTGGAGACCTCACTGTATCATCCCCTCAATGGTTTCTCTCCCATTGGTATTAGCATCATGGTAGTTGAGTCATAGAGAGAGAGGTCTGTGTCTCCTTACTGAAGATTTCACCAGCGATCCTCTTGCTCTCTCCACCCAAGCTTCTGGGAGGACTGCCACTAACAAAATGCACCTCTCACTATAGGAGATGAGGTGAAGGGATAGGTCCATGCATAAACATCCTCTTCCCAGAAGGACGCATCCTCTGCTCCTCATCCTTTTCCATTATGAGTTGGAAGGTGGAGAATAGTAGGGTTTGTAAAAGTTCTGCTCAAAGAAACTTTCAGAGATGGTTTGCCCTGACAACATGGCTTTTCTGATTTAAAATAGGTGCTTTTGCTCTGTGAACTTAACTCTTAAGGACAACTGGAAAGCTCCTATTCAGTGCTTTGGTCCATCCATCTATGAGTTCTAGAACATATTTGCAACTTCAAAAAGGCAATCAGCTATTCAGTTCATAGACTGGGCTTATTTGAAAAGAAAACAACAGAAAAATTGGGCAGACAAGGTGTGTTCACTGGAAAAGTCATGTCCACTATTCTTCTCTGACCACCACTGCTCTATATGACCTCAGATAATCCACCTCCTGTATTTCTCTGGAGAAGGAAACAGTGCAAGAATACAAGACTTTTGTGGGTTTTATAGTTTGCTGCTGTGTGTGTGTGTTATTCTCTAACCTCCTGGCATCATTTAAAATAGGGAGGGTTCCATATTAATGTTAACATATTCAAAATACCAGTGATGAGAACATAACATTTCTTGAAACAGTTTTTTTCTGAAGGAAATTGAATAATAAAATACCTCAAAATTGTATAACTTTAGATGATAAAATTTTAGAGAAAAGATTGAGATGGGGGATGTTTAAAAATAACCAATTTTCCTTTGATTCATAAATTACTAGGTAGTAACCTGTAAAAATCCTCTCTTCATTAGACTTTAATGATTATTTCTAAATCGTAAAGAACCGAGACATTATTGGATTATAAGAGGCTTAATATGAAGTATAGGAGGCAAGTTCTTTATATGAGAGCAGTTAAGTAGAGCTATTCTAATCTTGGAGGGCCCCCCTAAATATCTGTAATGGTTTCTTCTTTCATCAGTAATTATTGGTACTCATGAAAAATATACCAAAAGTGGTTTGTAATGAAAACCGTAGCTTTTAGGGGGTACATTTTGATATATTGACTATAAGTGATACAGGAGTTAGTTTGCAGTGATAAAAATCAGTTTTTATTGGTGATAGTATCATTGTTGCTAAGTTTGGCTTATGCGTTACCCTTGTAGTTTGATTTGAAATTCATAAATGTTAGTAGCATAGAACAATAGCATTTTTCTGGTCTGTGCTTTTTTTCTGTACCCCAGTAAGTCTCTTATCAGCCATGTATGGAGGTATTACTTCTCTACTATGGGCACTGTGACGTCCTTAAAACATATGAGGAAATTACAGTTTACTAAAATGCCATAATTTGAACTCAGATATTGGCTTTTGCCCCTGTTGGTTACATATTGAATATCTACATTGTGAAAAATATGTAGAAAAAATCAAATTTATTGAGGGAATAAATTAACATAGCAAGATTATTTACCATACATTTTTATTGTTTTTATTTGCAAAAATTGACATTTATACTCCACGAGATATGAAGTGGGAGAATCATATTTATTGAATTTAAGAACACTGAATTTACTGTCTTTTTTTCTATCAACTTGAATGCACACATCAGTTTATTTATAAAATTGATATTCTTCAGTAGAATTACTAACTTTGAAGTTACCTATTATCCAATTAATTTAATGACATCAGTGGAAGTATTTTTTTCACCCTTCTTCCCTTGCAGTTTCAAACAATTGCCTACAATTCCCCAAATCTTTGCTGCTTGCATCAGATCTAATATTACCTGTTACCTAATACCTCATCTAAGATTGAATCAAAGGTGCATAGGAAAATCCTCCATCTTCCATTGGTCCCAAAAGCCTGGAATAGCTAGCAGAAAGTGACAGATCTATTCTCATGCCTTCCCCTAGTCACCAGTGACCAAACAGTAATAAACAATAAATGAAAAAAAAATGAGATATCTATAAAATTACATTAAACATTTATATCATTAATCTTCTAGAAGTTACATAAATGAGAAATCATGGTTTCAAAACAACACTATTATAGAATATTGGATATAGAGAGAAGTTTAAGCTGAATAAATTTGTTTTAAAATACATTTAAAACCAAAGAAACTATTTCAAAGTGATATATGGGGATATATAAAGTTAAAATTATTTTGCTATGTCTATTCCTCAGGGCTTAATGGCAATAATTATACTTTTTAATATCATATTTAGGGAATGTTTTCAACTGAACTGTTCAAGTGTAATAAGCCCAGAGACTCCTGGGAATGAATGTAATTACATGGTTTGTTTTGAATCACACTGTCGGCAGTTAGTCTGGTGTTTTAATAAGACCTACAAGGATTAGAACCAGTCAACATATAAATTATGAAACTTCTAGTCAACCTGAAGGAAAAAATGGCCAAATCATGTGGGAAATTGGGGTGTCCCTAGAGGACTGGAATTTTTTTCTTTTTTTTACAACTGTAACATGTAGTTTTTAAAACTATGAAACAGAGTTCTACTAAGAAAGGTTTGTCACTGCAAGGAAAAAAAAATCATGTTTTTCAGTATATGAACTTTCCCAACAGAAACTGCAAGATCTTCATCCACTATAGCAAAGTAGATAGAAGTGTTACTATATTGTTTTGGGAGAAAAAAAAAAAGGCAAGATAATTTTAAACTGATCTCTAAGATGATCGACTTTAGAAATAAAACAGTTCTGATTTCCCCCCAAGAAAATTTCCATGTGTCCTTAATGAAAATGTTTTTCAATCATTTAATTTTTTGACATTTGACATTACCAGTAGTAATTGATTTCTACATAATTTTTGGCTAGTCAAACCTTGATGCTTTTTTTAAAAAGAAGAAAAAAATTATTAATAAACAGACATCACAAGCACAAACCAGAGGCTCCAAGTTAAAAAAAAAAAAAGATAATAAAGAAAACAAGTCAAGGGCATATTTATTTGATGAAGCAAACAAATTAAGACAAAAGGGCATACTTCTCAGAGTAACACTCCAAAGATTAATGCTTACTGATGGAATTAATCTTTCTCACTATATATTATGATAAATTTACCTACTAAAAGGCCAAAAGGTGATGTTATGAAGCCTAGATGACTCAGTACTGTGGTAGTCAACATTTTAATATTTCTCAGCATGTAACTAAAGGAAAGGTTCCCTGACTGGGTGTCACAATTATCAAGCATTGACAGGTGAATTATTCTTGGTAAGATGAAGACCTAAAACAAAGGGAGCCACTGCCTAATTATATTCAACAGGGATCCAAACAAGTGTCTGTTTCAACACTTGTTAGGGATAATAATCTCTTCTTTGTGAGTAGATTCAGATCCCAATTTCGACAAGAAGTGGCTAGTGGTATTTCTAGTACTCTACACTTATGTGTTAGATAAGATATCTAAAAACATGGCATCTAAGATAAGTGATTTTGATATTCTAAAATCACTAATACAAATTGTCTGCACTTAAATATGTTCAATTAGCTAAGGGCTAACTGAAGGGCTCTTGAAGGATAACAATCTAAAGTATTTAGTCTTTGTTTTATCATTTAAAGTTCAAATTTTTAAGTGGGGAAGGGGATAATTCCCATTTTTCTTACGTAGTTATTCTGGACATTGCAATTTATGTTCTAGATTATGTATACATCTTTTCATTGGATATAAAATAATGTGTGTCTACCTTGCTTTAGTGGTAAAAGTGTACACCTTGGAGAACATAAAATACAAAGAAATCAATAGAAAGTGTTCAAAAGGTTCTATTATATAGTGCATGTAAGCAAGGAAAATAATAGTTGTATATTTGCTAAATGAAATCACTATTTTATAGTTATTTCAAATTAAGCAATGCAACAAATACAGCTTTAGAGATATTTTTATTGGTTTAGCATTTTACAAACTTTTCAAATTGTTACAGTTTTCAGCAGTAAATATAGTAATGGTAATGGCAATACACCAAAATGTGAGATTCCTCTGATGGAAGAATACAAAAGATAGCAACACTGGGAAACAAAGGGCAATATGTTAACTCTAGGTCTGAGATGGAAATTAACTAAGTCTTCACAATCCTCATAATGGGGAAAGGAGTAACTCATTCCTTACAATTAAATGTAACTTTGAGTTTCACCTTTCTAGAAATTTTGTTGGGCACTATTTCAGCCACTGATCCCTAAAGTTCTATAATATGTATTGATACCAAAGGATTCAAACACAAAAGTGATCTGAAATGATCGTCAAAGCAAAGAAATGCTTTTGTTCCTCAACATTTGTGCCCTTCGTGGTATACTGTTCATTATAAAAGGGCATAATCCCTATAGAACTGCATAAATGTCATAAAAATGAATTTTATAAAGTCTCAAGATCATATGTATTCAAAAATACATATAACTGTGCTTTAGTAAATTAATCCATCAGTGAATTGAGGGATAATTTTGCTTTCAAGATATACCCAAAGTATATACAAAGGATCCACAAATGTTAATTATTTGTGACCAAAATTCTCTAGGTTTACATTTGCAAAAAACTGTGTTGGTTTTCAATTTTAAAAATTTAAGAAAGTTTTGAATGTTGTAGGTTTATTTTTGCTTGGGGTAAGAAAAAGTAGATGGCTTCAGGTTTCTTAACAGGAATTTTGTGAACTACTCACAAATGAGTTACACTTTTTTTGATTAGAAAAGATAAACTGCCTTCCAATTGTGAACAGTGTGCAGTATATAAAAAAAATAAGGTTTTATCTGAAACCAAAACTTTTCTAGAAAAACCCTGGGGGATACATCTTCTCATTTCCTTTACACAAGAATGAGTATGTGGCACACCAAAGTGGTAAACCACCAACAATGTTTGAATTCCATTACCAAATTACCAAGCAGAGAGATGAAACATTTTTATTTAAAGGAGAGAAAAATAGACACTTACTATTGAAGCTCAATATTTTACTATATAGTTTCTAACTTCATTCCAACATAAACTATGAATCAGTATAAACTAGATTTTAAAGAGAATTAAATCACAAAAGATAAATGCTATTCACACATGCAAAATTCATTGTTCCAAAGTGAAATACTAGGTCTGTATATTTTAATAAAAACTGCACACCTGTTTGACAGAAAGAAAATGTATATTTAAGAAAGATGTTATGTCCTCCTAATAAAAGCAATTCTATATCAAAGGCACTTCAGCAGAGTACTGACTCCTTAACCTTTTCCAACTCACCCCATTTTAATTCATCTTTCTGTAAAGTCCAAAAAGGAGTCTCTATTTTTGTACTTATTACTACTCTCCGCCTACCCCCCCAAAAGCAGATTTAGGTATTACCCCAAAGATTTCTCGTGTGAATTGGAGTAAAATACAGCAAAAATTTGCCCTAGATTAAGTTCTTTGGGTTAATACAGAAAGGTAGGAGTGTTAACTGATGGGATAGATGTTTCGAAGTGTTTACAGGGAAAAGCTGGCTGAAGTCTCCTATTGTCTTTCATCACCTCCTATCATTTGATTAAAGCTAATGTGGCTAATTTTGGTTTTTTCAACTTGTGTACAGGTCTTGGGTGGCTATGTTGCTCCCATGTTGAATAATGGGGATAAGAAATAAACTGCTTTATTTCCTTTTTCCCTTAAAGGAAAGAGGGAGCTACTTCAGACATTTGCCTTCATGAAATTTTTAAGAAAAATTGGATGGATTTTAATTAACAAAGAATATTCATTTTTAGGAAAAACAAATCAATGCTGAAGACACAAATTAAGATTTTAAAAAAGAATGTGGATATATTACTTCCTAACTTGGGAGGTGTGGGGGAAGAAGGTGATTTAAGAAAAAAACTTTACTTTTCCTGTACTTTAATTTCCCTCAAATACCTTTTAAGAATGTCAACAGAAAAAAAGAAATTGCACCTGCATATTATTGAGTCCCAAGGAAATGGCATTTCTTTTCTGCTCTTGACATTTAGAGAAAAAAAAAGCACTGTCTATTTTCCTTACCAGTATATATTTTAGTTTTGGGGATGTACATCAAACTTTTGATTCAGTTCATTTACTTTTAAATCAAGTTAAATAGATTTTTAGTAGCTACATGCTTTGATAGAAATGTCTTAAGTGATTTTAGCCAATATTTATCAATGATTTTGAAGCTAAAGGTATGGAATTCTTTTTCAAAAAACAATTTCATTGTACTTTTGCAGAGGATATATAAAAATTCAGTATCAGAACATTCACTCCTCAGATTTCTAAGTAACAAATTAATACCTTATTCTGAGAGGTTATGTTCAGAAACAACTGGCATTTCCCTAAAAGTATAGGATTTAATTTGGGAATATACAGGTACACATACTGTTTATTGCAAAAAAAAAAGAAAAGTTGCCTTTGAATTCTAATAACATCAGTACAAAACATCAAGTTACTCAAGTGTGGGCTTGGGAGAACATAATGACATTTAATTCACAAGATTATAATGCCTGAAGAACAGTTTCATTTCTAGATGTTTTACAGGGGTATTTGTCAAGGCAGAGGCAACATTTTTGGAAGCAACTTTAGCAATACACTTCACTGTTCTTAAAAGAATGAGGGGTAAATTGCTGAACAACATTTTCATATAACATCTTGGCGCTACTTAACATTTTGAACTCTTCAATTCTTCAAATTTATCACCTAAAAATAATGAAAAGAATAAGCCAGAAAAAGCTTTTCTTACAGCCTTCTCTCTCATTACTGAGCTACCCTTCTACTATTTACTCTGCTTGAGACATGTCCAGGGTCCATGAGATTGCTCAGTCTCAACTTCTTTGGAAGTTCATACTGCAATTTACAAGAAGCAAGAATAAACAGCACGACACGGCAGAGACGACCACACTTAATTTATGGGAATCAGTGGGCGTTCTTCTCGCTTCTTCCAGATGTTAGTCTTGCTGTCTTTTTTGGCTAGTGGTGGTCTGCTCCTTTTCTTAGTGGGGGACGCATTGGCTTCAAAATCTTCAATAGTGCTTTTTCTTCCTGGGGACTCTTCCCCAGGGTGTTCCAAAATCGCTCCACTCCCCCCATCCAAGATGTGCCTTAAAGCCGGGTCCTCTGGAGAGCACACGGTGGTTCCACTCTCACTGCTGCTAAGGTCTAAGTCTTCTAAGTAAAGAATCTTCGGCTGATGCATACTTTTGATGAAAGTTTTCTCCCTCTCGAGCTTCCTGCTAGAGTGATGCTCATTCATGTCCACCCCAGAATCTAGACTAGTGTCATTACTCTGCGTTCTCTTGCCCCTTTTCAGGTCTATGAAGGAATGCCTCACTTGTGCAACTGGTTTCCCATCAAGAGAGACAAACCAGGCTCTGGGATGGGGGGAGGGCTTTCCTTTGGACAGTTCTAGAAGGGTCTGCTCAGAAATTCCTTGAAGCTCTGATGAAAAGGGGGTCATGACAACAGCTTCATTTAGTGTTCCAGGAACAGACACAGATTCTAGTAAACTGTTTGAATACCGGCTCCAATCTGCAGTAGTCTGGGATGGCAAGCTTTGTTGGCCTTCAAGTGGGATATTCTCTTCCCTGGCATCAGGGGCCTGTGTATGAGAATGCATTGGCATTTTGGGCAATGTCTGTGTGAAGTTCTCTCTGTTTACTGGTTCCATCAATTGGCCATAGACTAACTGTCCCTTTCTTGGCAAAGTAGCTGACTTAGCAGCATGTATCTGCTCTGAAGTAGAAAACAGGTCAGACGTTTGAAGGATGGCAATGGGCTGGCTATAGATATGCATAAGCTGTTCAGGAATGTGGGAACGCCCGTAGATCTCTTCATTAGCTGTGAGATATCTCTTTTCCTCTTGAGTATCACCTAGAGATGAAGAAAGATTATTGCTAATATGTTTGGACCCTACATTCATCTCCAAAGACTTGGTTGGGTTTCTTGAGTAATTATTTTGATTGACTGACAGAAATGAAACATCTTCATTATAGATTTTGAAATTGTCCCGAGTTTTCACCGTGGAAACTCTTTCTTCTGCTTCTGCCTTTGATGGTTCCTTTTTTTGAGGGCTGTATGAGGAGCTTTTGGCATTGAACAACTGTGACTTTTCCTCAGCTTTTAATGCAACTTTGACTGAACTGATGTGATTGATGTGTGTTGTTGAAGTTGTCTGATCTCTTTTGAGGACCTCAAGTTTGGTGATATTCCTTTCTCTTTTCTGTGGCGTACCACACTTATCCCTAAAGTAAAAGATAAGGTAAAAGAAAAAGATTAAAGCTTAGGATCAAAAAGGCTTATTTTTTAAAAACCATTACATACAATGTTACTGTTAGAACCTATCCATCATTATTTGAATTTACAAATGTTAAAGGTAATTAAACTTTGTATCACACAGAACTGACATAATTTGTAGTTTTCTGTCTTACCTGCAGTAACAAAGCAGTACAGTAAAAAATCCAATGACAATGACTGTTGTTCCTCCTAGAATGGCTGTAAGAAACACTGTGTGGTAGGCAGTTATGTCCTTTGAATCTCCAATTACACCTGAACCTAAATGATTCAATACAAACAAATAACTTCTTTTAGATCAAATTCTCAATGGTACTAACATGAATGAGGTAGACTCTAGCTATTACCTTTAGTTTGATCTCCTCCCATATCAAGTCTTCTTGTGAGCTTGTTAGTGGGCAATGACAGAACTCCACATTATTAGGTAGGACAGGAGGCATGGAACCTCCCTTTTTTTTTTGAAGATTTATTTATGCATACAGAACTGGGGTACAGGACAGCAGTGCAGGGTGGTGAGAGGATTCACCAAAGGCAGAGTGGGGAGCAGAACAGGTCAACTGATGAAGTACACTACTGAGGGGAGCAGTAGGTGGGTCAGGAGAGGTCTGCCTCTCCTCATGCAGGTCACCTCCAGGGTGGGGATCGAACTCATGCTGAAATGGCTTTAGCTTCTTAGTGCTGTGCTTTGACCTGCTGCGCCACCAGAGAGGGCCAGAACCTCCCTTTTTAATGGAGGAGTATACCTACACAATTAATCAACTAGTTTGTTCGAGTGAAATGTGAGCACCTTAAATGAAGTTGCATGTTAAGGCACTGCTTCCTGATACATAATAGTATATCTCAGAGTTGCTATTTTTTAAGCTAAATTATGCAATAAGAAAAATTGTTGAACTGAATTTGGACTTGCCCAACAGTAAAAAAATAGCAAATCAGTGTTTGTTCTTGTTATGTGTGTATGGACACACCACAGCTTTTGTGATAAGCTTTATGACCATAAAATGGCCTAGGATTCTACACAAAAATAAGTGCTACAGGGCAACTAATCTCAAATGATCTGTTTCAATATTAAGATTTCATTTTGATCAAAATATTTCACTGAGGCTGTCAACTTGAACAGACTCTAGATGCATATTCATATCTGCAACAAAGTAAAGATTGATCATAACTGGGTGAAATTCAGCTTCTCTTAAGGATGTATGAATATATTTCTACAGTAGAAAAAATGCAAACAATTAACTTCATTGTATACTGACAAAATGCTAAATTTTTATACTATACTAGATAAAAGAATTGCTCTGCATTTATTTGTGCATGCCTAGGACTAGGTGAAAACTTGCAATATATTTCAGTCAAATTTCTTTGAAAATGTGTATTTAAATAGTCAGCCACTTGATTTAAGAAATTCTAGAATTTAAGGGTTATTCAAAAGAACAAATTAAGTATATTAATCTAATTAAAGTAACTACAGCACACCAGACACTAACTGGCCCCTCTTAGGGCCAAGTCCTGACTTTACAATAACATTCGCATCCTCAAATGTTTAGGGACATTGGGGGCCATTATATACTCAGATGGGTAGGTACCTATTTCAAGCTTATCCAGTTAATTGATGTCAAAGTGAGCTATAGTCATGTTATTGACCTTGATAATATAATTTCCCTTTGTATAATATGCTATTTTTCAAAAGGATCATTTAAAAGATAGCTAACTCACACAAAATCTTAGTATATTTCTCTATAAAACTTAAGTTCTCTTTAGGTTATTTTGGTTAAAATGAAACAACTTGGATTAGAATGAACTGAAGTATTGCATTAAATATTAATTCTTTTTCATCAATATTTCATTAGAGTTGAAAATCTAGAATAGGATAAGGCAGACAGCTGGCAAGACTGCATGATATCTTGCATCAGAAAGAACAAAAGTAATAACCCTCAGGTTGCTGAATAAATAGTACTTAGAAGTTTAAGTTCAAATAGAAATCATCCCTTTGGTCATATCTCATTAATGGCTCATATTTCTTACTCTATGGGAATTCTAAATTTTGACTATTGAAAAAAAAAAAAGACCTTGGTTTAAAAACTCAAACATTAATGTAAAAATTAAATTTTAAAAAATATGAGGACCTTCAAGTTACTAATAGGCACTTATAATAAGATTTTATGATAGAATTCTGCAGAGAAATGTATATAAAATTTATCCACTCTTGTCAGGTGTACACTATCAGGGAATAGCCAAGTCATAGCAGCCCCTCAGTTGGGGGCCAAGACACCTGATAAACCAAGAAGAATTGTCTGACACATGATTGTAGATGAAGGAAGGACATTTATTCAACTTAGACATTCTTGCAAAACGTCACTGAAATGACAAGGTTTAACTTGTTTTGTTTCTGTAAACATTCAACCCCCACAGGAAAAAGATGATGAAATAAGAAACAAGATGCTGCTTAGCAAAGCTGGCAGCAGGAAAAGTGAAGGAACAACTCCATTTATTCCAGGGACCACACTTAAATATAAATTACATAGACAATCTGGTACCATATTAAATCTGGGGAAAAGGAAGTTCTGATTTCTCCTAGAATATCAATATATCATAGAAAATGTGAGGATTTTGGCCACTTTTCCCTTGGGTTTCACCTGTGTTTCTTGGGAACATTATTAGTTACTGAAGGGTCCTTTTTTGCACCCTCTTCTCCCCACCAAGGGATGTTTCGTGATACAGGGCTGGATGGACCAAATTTTTCACCCCTACAGTGATCAGGAACAGTGTGGAAAAGAGTCTGCAAAGGGCTGCGTCATGCAGCAGAATCTTGCAAAGAGAGCCAAGTGGGCCACTACCTGGGTCCTTTGGGAGTCCTGCCTTACAGGATCTGATTCTTCAATCTTCCTGAGATTCTGTGACCCCTGCATCCTAATACATTCTTAATAATCCCCCAAAATTTAGCTTCCAGCTCTAAATGATCTGTGCAGGATTCATTCATGAAAAAAAATAAAGTGCATTAAGAAACTATTTGAATCAATTTTAAAATCACAAAATTCATAAGCCATTATAGGTGAAAGAAACCTCATGGTTTCTCATGCACTCATGGAGTATTTTTTTTCTCATGAAAGAGTAAAAGCTGAGATCAAGAGATTAGGAGCTTTTCCAGTGTAACAGCAGCTAAGTGGCTGTGGTTCAAATTCAGATTGTTGGTATAACTCAGGTGTAACTGAATTCTTTTTTTCATTTTTATAATACCTCTGGTTCCTGGAATTGGAGCTGCTATCCAGTAGCCCAAATGTGGAGCATCATATGTCCACATTAAATGACCGTTATAGTCCTTGACGATTCCCCAGCCATGATTTACCCAAGCACCTAAAAAGAAAGGTAAAAAGAAAATGCACCCAGTTAGTTATAGCCTATATATCTCTAGAGTTGAAATACTAACAGCCCCACAAAGTATTTAACATGACTTCTCAAACAGTATTAAAACTGTTGCATTATCATAAACTAAGGGCATAGGCAAATCATGATTCTTCATATAATGCTTATTTTGCACATACTGAGTGAAATTCACTAAGTGTCACATGTTCTTGGATTTGATTAGTTATAGGGTACTATGGCATGGAACTAAACTTTTTAAAATGTTATCTAATCCAGTAAATTCCCAGAGAAAAGCTGCTTTGAAGTTTAGCATAACAAAATTATATGTAAATGTGTGTATAAAACAGTGTTTCAAATAAGATAGAGGTACTTAAAATAATGGGACTGAGTTAACCTACAGCTTTTTAAATTGTCACATTGAAATTAAGCATCACATATTAGAAATCGACTCAAAAATTCTGTCACTGAAGGCTATATTAGAAACAATCAGAAATCAGGACTCAGCAGATAGTTTTAAGTCTTAACAAATTGGAAAACTTAGGCCCATGTTAGTATACTAGTGTGATTCTATAATTTGTATTTTTATATTGTGATATAGGTAGATGTAATTTTTTAACTCCTAGGTAATATACATCTATAAAGGTAGTACACCTATTATACTTTTATAAAAAGTTTCACATCCATTTTCAACTACATCTGAGTTTACTAATATCTAACTTTTGGAAAGTCCCTAAATGAATAAGGGATATGAACTCACAGCACCCCCAAGTCAGTGATTTAATCACTCAAACCTACACCATGAAACCTTAGCAGAGCCCTGAACTACACAGTTCAGAGGATGTACTGGGGAAGGCAGTGCAAGGGTGAAGGCCTGGTCTCCCCGCCCCTCCTCCACACCTTGGCCAGTATAGCACTTCCACTGGCTGTTCTGGACTTGCACCCTTGTATAATACATCGGATCTAGAAAGTAAACTTTTCCTATGAACCGGTCCTAGCAACTCTAAGAGGTGGTCAGGATCTTCCAATTTATAGTTATTCAGAAGCGCAGGTGACAAACTATACAAGAGGTAGTCTGTGGTACCAAGCCTTGAACTGCAGGACTGACACTTAACTGCAGGTAGGTAAGGTCTGAATTGACCTGTAGAATACCCAAAGCTAGCTGGTATCAGAACTGCTTGGTATAGGACAAACACCCCTACCGACCAGCAGTAAAGTATTGAGACTAAAGCAGAATGTTGGAAGTTTTCATACAGTTACCACTGTTTAATAATTTCTTAATTCCACTCCATAGTAAGCATTGGTTTGGGGTTTTATAAGTCTCCTCTGAGGATATACTGCCCCTCTTCTCTGTAATCGAAGCCTAAATAAATCTCTGCAATCCACTCACAGGCCACAAAGGTTGGTTCTGAGAGTATCAAACTCCAATCTATACTGAGTCCATGAGTTTCTGTGATAAATGTTATAAAAGAATCTCTTTCCCTTAGACTTTGCACCTGGACAGGTATAAAGTTAGCATACCTGCAACCATCTTGCCGCTCTGAAGGGAAATTATACCCAGGAGAGGTATCAACACAGAGGACAGAAATCAAATCCTGTTAAGTTACCCAGGCTCTGTAATCTGCCCCACACAAGATAGTTCTATTAAGTAAACATTACCAAACAACCCCTCCCCCCAAAAAACCCTGCAAAAGTAGGACTACATTTTATTTCTCCTTAATGTTAGGGGATCTAGAAAAGGCATGGGAATACAAGTAAATAATGCTAGTTTTTTTTTTTTTTTAAAGATTTACTTATTTATGCTTACAGAACTGGGGTACAGGCCAGGTATGGGGTTTGAGAGACAGAGTGGGGAGCAGAACAGGCAGATGGACCAAAATACTGCTGAGGGGAACAGCAAGCGAGACAGAGGTCTGCCGTGCCACATGGGTCAGCTCCCTGGACAGGGATTGAACTCGTGCTGCAATGGCTGTGATAGCTTCATAGTGCTGAGCTATAACCTGTTGTGCCACCAGGAAAGGCCTAATAATGCTAGTTTTAATGCTATATTGACATTATTATCTTCACAGTTGTAGGGATCAAAATGGGACCAATGCTGGGCATTGACAAAATGCTTAAAATTGTAGCATTGCTGGTTTTAGTGTTCTACCAAACGGACTAGTTACATTTTAACAGTCACTATTAAAATATAGAAACCTTCTATCTTTAAAGGAAAAGTTTTAAACATTTCTAAGATAAAATTTCAAGCATTCAAAGAAAAGTATTCAGAATATTTCACCTGGCTCACTTACCCATGTCCATATCAAATGTCCAGGCAGGAATGTGATCCCCTGCACTTATGTCATTTGTATGTAGAAGGGGGAGAGAAACTTGAATAGAGCCATCTACCTTTAATTCTTTTCCTCCAGAATAAATTTTCACACATATTGCTGCCAGAGGGACCAATTCAATGCTTTCAAAACCTAAAAAAAAAAAAATTCAGCATATGAAAATCATAAAATATAGGCAGGTAGTTAAATTACTGTGGGGTAAATCTCTTTCACCCAGAGCTATCCATTTTAATGTGAGCCTAAGTGACCTAATTCTGAGTCATTAGATCAAAGATCAAAGTCATTTGAATGTTTTTAAAAAAACAACTCAAACCGCCCCCTCCCCGCCTCCAAATCTGATTGCTATTATACCAAATAAAGTTCTGTCATTTCACATCATCATTCAGGTAAGGGAGGATCTAAATCTTTACAGTTACCTCATATAAAAAAGCATTCTAATTCAAAATACATTTTTTAATCACTTATTAGATAAAATTAATTAAATTGCTATATATATTTAATATTCTAATAGAAAGAAAATAAGATAAAGACTGCTTTATCTAAAAGCTTAGAGAAGAGGGTAAAGGAGATTAATGGAAGAATTACATATACCATTTTGCCTAAGTTTCTAAAGATTTTATTGTAACTACTCAACTAATAAAGAACTCTTCCATTTGTGGAAATGAGGTAAGTTATGCTACCTGAGATAAGTCAGAAGGAGAAAGACAATGCTAAATGATTTCATTCATGTGGAATATAGAGGGTAAAAATAAAGGATGACTAAACCAAGGTAAACCCAAAAAATAGAATTGCATAATTAAGAGTCCTAGAGGATGGTGGGACTAGGATGCTAACATACATCTGACAAGGTGTGAATCTTCCCCATGTCATAGTGTTGAAAGTCAGTGTTGCCTCAGTGGAAAAATTGATTGTATAGTATATACCAGAATATAAAATATGGCTAGAAATGAGATTTTTCTCTAAGTAATTTGATAATTTTAAAATACTGATTACATAATTTTTCATTTGTTTAACAGGTAATTACATAATCCCTGCTGGCACCACGCAGTAATCTGGACAGCAAAGATGGTGAGTATGTGATCTCTCATGCTGGCTACAATATTTGTTTCACAACCCTAATTACAAAGGTCCTTTTTCCTCCTTGTATTCAGTCTGTTTCTCCCCCCATCTGGATGCAAATGCATGATAGAAGTACCATTACCAGTGCTTTAAAGAAAACCTAGAAAGGCATTATAACTGGGTGGTCAGGAAGGCTGTCTTAAGGAGAGAACCTTTGAGCGGTAGCCTGATGAGGAGCCAAACATGCAGAGATCTCAGGAAGGAGCTTTCCAAGCAGAAGAATCAAGCGAAAAGCTCCCAAATCAGAAGTGACCTTGGCGTGTTCATAGAAAAGTTTAGTCTTTACAGGTCAAGGAAATGATATCTCATCGCTGCAGTCATTTCTGGTGTATGTCTTCAGTTATTAGACAACTGTAAGAGAATTAGCCTTTGTAAACTTCCTGAAGAGAAGCACTAAGAGTAAAATGAGCAAGGGAATATTATAATACTGGTCAGTAATCTAGTATGTTGTAATCTCTTGTGTCCAACTGTTTGCAAAGTGGTTAACCCTACCTCCACCTCTATGTAGCCAGTGGCTTCAGTGACTGGCTACAGCTGAGATCCTCGCCCTGACACCTGGGGAAAAGGCCAACTCGAAGATGGGGGGAAAGACTGAAAGACAAGGAGGAAACATTTATACTTCCATCGTCACAGAAGTCTATAATGGTGCAATCCAGTATAGCAGCCAGCTACAGCATAGTGTAATGTAAATGAAATACAGTGCAGTTTCTTAGTTAAATAGCCAAATTTCAAGATCTCAATATGCCAGTGGCCACCATGTGGGCATAACAAAAAGGTATCCCCACTTGACAGCTCTGCTCTGGAACTTTGAAAATCAGGATAACAGCCAACATTTACTGAATGATCCTAAAAATGGGTAAAAGGCTCTGCTCTCCAACATTCTCCTGGTGTGATCCCTTCTCACTGTGCCTAATGTCTTGTCCATAGAAACTCCAGTGCATGTAAGCTGCACTTCTGGAATAGAATGCTCTAGTACCATTCTTATAAATGTATTTATTTTGCACACCCTGTGACTCCCTTTTGGAAGACCTTAGCAAGTGTCTTAGAATGGCAGCTTCAAGAAGCAGACCCTGAAAGAAACACTTCCTCTCCTACTGCTGAGGGAGTGGAGAATATAATGAGCAGATTATTGCTGTGGCAACTCTAGCTCAATCCCACTGGGGACAGAATCAGACTCAGTTGTCCTCAAGGAGCTTGGGGCATTTATGTACCCTTACGTGTCAGTGAATGCTAGCCACAGGTGTGTACAGGAGGGAACTTGAGTTTGGCATAGAATGTTGGTCATCTGGCTGGGGCTCTGATAGGGCTTTTAAAAAAACCTATGGTGGCTGATACCTCACCAAAATACCTACATCTCCTTAATACTTTAAAATTAGGAACAACTCAAAACAAAGATTGTCTGAGAGGATTTCAATGATATTGCAATCAGTGGTAGAAATGGCAGAATAGAGTAGAGATAGTTTTTGTGGACATAATTCTTGGACATATTACCTTTAACACCTATCATTCTCTAAAGATATGGGTCATGAGTAGCCTCTGTAAATATATTAGTGCGGTTGAATTTACAATACATTTTCTCAGAATAGCAAATTTAAGAAAAGTTGCAATTGCTTACTATCATCTGTAAGTGAAGATATTTATAAACATCTTAATAACTACATTTGGTATAAAATGTATATTCCAGTATCTTAAAAGCAATGCAAATATCTGAATGCATTTGATGATTTATAAGCTGTTTCTTAGAAATTCAATAATACCTGATTTATTGAGAGTAATTCCAGTTGTATACAGAAAATTGTCCACTTTCAAAAACTGCTGTAGGACGGTAAGGTAACCTGTTACATTGCTAATATGATGGTTGTCAGGTAGTTTGATTAAGGCTTTTGAAAATTGAACACTTGGTTGAGATTTGGCATCTGAAAAAAAAAAAAGGAAATCTCATTAACAAATAGACAAAAATACAAAAATATAAGCACAGCATCATTGATATGGACATTGTGCTTTGAAAGGCAATAGTTGTAATTAGCAGTTAAATTCAGAACTGAATAAACGAACTCTCCTTTAACAATGATTTCCTGCCTATGCCTAATAACTGCCCTTTTGGAATAAAATTAAAAATCAGAAACATCAAGTAAAATTATTAGGACAAAAAGTTTTAAAATTTACAAGACAAGGGATGAAAGAGTCTCAAAATCAGTGTATCATTTACTCATATATGAAACTAAAATAATCCCTGGAAATTAGTTAAAATGATTATTAAAGAAAAACATTTACAACGTGTTTAAAGGTACAATCTGCTACCTTCTGATTACTTACAGGCATAATTTACAACTTAGTGTTTTGTAGGTTAATTATGTTGAAGACCCAAATTTCTTACGTTTTTTACACTCCTGAAAACAGGCAGTTCCTTCTGTCCCTTTTACCACAACTACATTTATGTGCAGACCTATCTTCCTGATCAAAACTTGCAAGAAAAATTAGCATTTTATGAAAATAAGGATGTTTTTTTTTTCTAAAAAATGATTAAACATCTTCAAACATCCATCCTTTCCTGCTTAGACTTACTCAACTCTTAGGGAAGTAAAATGAAATGACTGAAAGAACTAACCCTATTGCTTAGGGGGATTACTACCCAGATAAGGGGATGCTCACTAGGAGTGGCATATGGACATGTCCACATGAATCCATTTTGTAATGGGATTTGATGCAACCATTAAAGATAGGGATATATCAAAACAAAATCACCAAGAGAACTATGGAAACCCTGGCTTCACGAAGGCCCCAACAACATAAAATGTAGACTTTCTTTTCACCCTCTACACATTTTCGCAAACTCAGTAACTCAAAATTCTGCTAAGTGTCTTAGTTAGCATTTGAAGAATAAGAGCTATACTGTCTCATTTTAATATGCATTAGCCCAGCTCTAGTGAATTTCTTCCAAATAGTTTCATATTTAATATTTTTAGATTTAATCTAAATCTGAAAACTAAGAAAAGGCTAACAATCCTTTTTACTATGATTCTTACTGGACATTGAGGCTTTTTTGTCTTCCCAGTCAGTCCTACTATGCTTTACTCCTAAATATCAATCTCCCTGTGAGGGAGAATGAAATTGTCATTTAGAGTTTTTTTCTAATGTGCGCTGAGAGTTGCAAAGTGCTAGGGTTTCCCCTAAGGATTAGTTAAGAGAGGTGAGTAGACAAGGTAAAGACCAAGGTATCCTCAGGTAAAGCAGAACTGGAGGTCACAGCTTGAAGGGACCAAAATGCAGTCTTTTGTATTCTCTACCTTGGGAGATGCAAGTGGGAAAGGTCATGTTTGCTTAGCAGATACTTTAGCCAGTCCTAGGCCTTTACCACTAGCCAGCAAAATTAGTGCCAGAGGCAGGAATAATAGCATCCAAATGAGATCTGTTCAGTCCTTTTACCAACTACTGAAGCTAAAGGGAGAGATTTGGACTTTGAACGAAGTTCAGATGCTTTGTCCACCTCTGCAAGGCAGCTGGAGTGTGATTCCTGCTGTATAAGAACCTACATTGTAGCTCAATAGTAAAGTAAAATAAGAACCATCAGCTCAGGTCTATCTATATTCGGTACAGTCATCCCTGATCAACTTAAGTTTTTCCACAATTAGTGAAGAAGTAGAACTACATAATAATCACTTTGAAGTGTACTTACCAGCTAATTTTCCAGTAATTAAAACAGTGTCTTCAAAGAGCCATATATTAGCTTGGTTTTGCGGGAACAGTGAAAGTGTAACTGATGAGTATACTGTGAAATGCAGCACAATTAGGAAATGTTATCAAATGTGAGGAGAGAAAAAACTGGGACAAATATAGTTTTGTTCCAGCAGGTCCTAAGTGGTAAAAATGCACACACACACACACACACACACACACAGCTAGGTGATGGAGAAAGCGATACAAAACAAAGAATATAAAATACAATTAAAAGGAGAAAAAAATAGGATCACTCAATATGAGTGAGAAAAGATTGGGCATTACTATTTCATGTAATTTCTACCAAAGTGACTCCTGAGGTACTCTAACCTCAGATACATATGATCAAGCTAAATATGTAAACAACTTTCCATTTTTTCTATATAATTTCCCTCTTATCATTTTGAACATTTGGCTCTGTAATTCAAGGTTCTTTTAGAGGCTACAGTCACATCTTTAACTTCCCACATAGAGATGCAATGCTCTTCTTCAGACAATATGGATGCCAGACTCATGATTTAGCAGAGAAAGAGAAGGCTTAACACACAGAATGACCCACAGGTAACTTTTCCTGGAACACAGGATGAACTAGGCCTCCCCACAATGGTGAGCCTCTGAAACAACTACTGGGATGAGTAAGTGCAGATTACCTGAAGGGTTAAGTTGTGTCAAGATCAGGAGTAAAAAGCTGGAAAGATATTGTCCATTTGACAAGCAAGAACACTTTGAATAAGTTTACCAATTCTGCAGAGGAAGGTCTGAGGCAGGGCCCAAAGCAGGAGCCTCATCTACTCTCTCTGTGGTGTCATACTTAGAAATACACAGAAATGACATCAGATCCCTAAATCATTGCAAAGATAAACATGTTTATTTGGGCATGTTTTGTAGTATTTCAAAGAGCTATGAATACAAAAATAGGGCAAGGCAAAAATGCAAGTATACAATCACGATGGGTGGATGTAAAATAAAATACTTTCCCTAAATAGGAAGAGGACTACTAAATAAAAGTATAATTTCAATTGAGTGTGTTAACATTTGGGCTGTATAATGCACTTAGAGAGGAAGTGGTAGGGTCCTAGCTGGGACCAGCAGGTGGCTGTAATTGGGGCACAATCCCTTATTTGGGTGATTAATATGAGCCGCGGGGACAGCTTTTTCAAGGCTATTAAACTTGAGAAGCTTTGCATTTCACTAAAACTTACACTAAGTTTTTAATCACTGAAAAAACGTTAGAGTAGAAAAGTTGAGAAATAGAGAAAGATGAGAAAATGATCACTTCATTATAGATATGAACACTTAGTATTTCAGAAGAGCTCTTAGATTTTCCCATGATTTTTAAATACTAAATATGATATTCTATACTCAGTACTTTAACCTTTTTCACATAATACTGTGAATTTTATCTCTCAAATAGAAACACTTCCTAATGTAATACAAGGCAATATTTTATTCCTCAAGTATTAAGCATTATTTAACCACTATACTAATACTGTATATCTATATTGGTTTTATATTCCAAAATATTTTAATCAACTGGGTACAATTATCTGTCCAGTTTTTGTATGTCTGTTTTTAGGACAGATTTTCTAGTAAGATTTTGACATTTCAAAAATTGTCAAGATAATTTCATTGATTTGATCTTCCTCCGACAGTAAGATAATTTCATTGATTTGATCTTCCTCCGACAGTATCTGAAAATCCTGATAGCATACCTCAACTCGATCCAAAATGAATTCACTTTTTTAAAACTTTCTAATGTATTTCCTTGGTGTGTATACCACAAACTTTAAAATAAAACATTTTGTCATATTTACTAGTCATTTGTGTTTCCTATTTTGAAAATTGGTAGGTCTGTCTTTGTTTTCCTTATTTAGGCAGGCTTCTTACTAATTTGTATAGTATAATAAGGTTATCACCCCTATTTTATATGTTTTCCTATCTTCATTTGGTCTTTGTTTCTGATGTATAAGAGATGATTTTTTAACATCATCAAATCTACCTTGTATCTTATTGCCTTCAAGTTTAAACAGGGTTTTAATTCAAAGATCAGGGAACTTATTTTCTTATATTCCACATTTGAATAATATTTTGGAATCAATCCAAATTAAGGTACTACAAATAGTTAATACTACAATACTACTTAATGAATATTTAGCCTTTCTCAATTATTTCTATTGGTGCTTTATCATAGATTTCATTTTTTATATTTCATTTTTTATATCTACCAGTCTCTGGTTTGTACCATAGTACAGATCATATATAGTACCACAGTTTTCAACTGAAGCTACAAAATGTTTTTGTTATCAGAAATAAACTGTAGTAAACATTCTTTAAAATGAGATTCCCAGGTATTTTTTCACATTCATCTTTCAGGTTTATCAAAAAATAACTAAATGCACTAAGTTTCTAAATTTGAAAATTGAAATAGACCATATTCAGGCTTTCTAACAAAAGGCTTGGGTGCTTTTCCATTTACCCAAGGTTTCAATTTATTTGGGTTTGTGGTAGGTTTAACAGTAGCATCTGCTGGTTTTATTTCTGATTTCTGCTCAAACTGTTAGTTCACTTTTTAAAAATGTCCCTACATATTTCATTTGGTTTTGTTGTTCTGGAGGTTTTTCTTTTCACTCTTTCCTAGCTACTAATTACTTGTAGTACTTAAGAACATGTTTGGTTTATGCCATCAGCCCATCCTTCCCAGTATCCAATCAGTCACAGTAAATCCTATCCACTCACTTTCTCCCCCAGTTTTATTGATATAACTGACATATAACATCATTTAAGTTTAAGATGTAAACCATGTTAATTTGTATACATATAGTAAAGAGATTACTACAATAATTACCAGGACAGTATCTTTTAGTTACCCCATCTTTTTCAATCACAGCTTCAAAGTGAGGCTCCCTGAGTCCATTTTAGCCCTGCTGTCAGCCTATTCATTGTACATTAATAAGTAAATTCAGCTTTTAAACAACCTACCTTTATGCTAAACAATCTTTAATAATTGCCTTATTGGTTAGGACATAATCTAAACTTGCCTCACCTTCCAAGAACATCCTTTCATGAGCTGGCCTATTCTGCTCCTCACCGACTCTTCCAGCACATCAGCCCTCACCTCACCTGGGGACAAGCTGTGGACTTGTCTTGCTCAGGACTGCTTCAAGTCTCTGTCAAAGAAAAACTTACCTTCATGTCTTCTTCAAACTAGCAGCATTCTTTCTAACCTCCTTATATTGGCTTCATCTAGGCATTTTCAATTTTCAGAACAAGAGATCTCCAAAGCAAACCAGAGGGGGAAATAATGTAAATTTAGTAAGACAAAACAGTTTAAGTGCTTACTTGGCATTCTTCCAGTCTTCCAAGGCAGTGGGGTCAACACATAGCCATCCTTGTAAGCAATAATGGTTAAGCTGAGTCCTAATATATAGGGTACTCTTATCAACACTGCGCCATTGTTTTTAGTTACCATGGAATTTGTCTTCGTGTAGTTTACAAACACTTCTACAACTGCTTTACTCAGGTACTGACGGCTGATGATGTCATTGACCTGAACTTTCAGTGTAAAGACAGACACTGCAAGAGAACAAAAAGCCAGATATTGCAACATATTAGATCCTAAAATGCACATCACTATACTTTAAATGTCATTCAGGCATCTGAATATCAGTGCAAAACTTGATGTAGGAAATACATGTGCATAAATGAATGGAAGGAGGATAAAGACATTCCAACAGATTCATTCTTTCTAAAACTGAATAAATTTGAATTCATTATTATTAAGGCCCAACATTATATTCTACTGTTCTTCCAATTAGAACTGTAAAGGAGAACAGTAACAGAAAAATGTTCTCTCCAGGAAAGTATATTTTTACTTTGCCTCACTAATTCTAATGTGTTGAAGTTATATAGATTTAAAGAATTCAAAATTCCAAATCCCAAATGTCAAAATTCTCAGAATAAAATGCAGTTTCACCGGAACTGGAGAGCAGTGAATGTATTTCAGTTCCAAATGACAAAATATCAAAATGTATTATTCAATAAAAAACATACTAAGATAACACTGGACCATAAGAATTCAAGCTTGTTTCAAAACCCTCTAGCCTTACAATTCTTCGCAATGGGTTCATGAATTTGCTAATGGTAACATCTGGCTAAAAAAAAAAAAAAAAAAAAAAAGAGCATGTTACCTCTGTGAAGTGCTTTGTAAAGCCTGTATCACAAATGACCTTTGCCAAAGATGCTGCTTTCCAGAATAAATGGACTTCGGAGTTGGTCAAGATCCATATCTGCCATTTCCTAGACATACTGCTTTGGGCAAATGTCTCAGCACTCAAAGTTCACTTGCTCATTTGTAAATTGGGAGAATAGTAACTACTTTGCGGTAACAAGATGAAATAATGCAAATAGTATACCCAGCATAGAGCTCGGCCGTCACTTAACACCATTAATAAAACCATCACTACACAATTGGAGAGAACTCCACAAACACTAGGTCCATTGCTGAGAAATAGCTCATTAAAAATTAAAGATGCTGGGCCCTCCCTGGTGGCACAGCGGATTAAAGCAAAGCACTGAGAAGCTTAAGCCACTTCCGCACGAGTTCGATTCCCGCCTGCCGGGAAGAGCGCCACATGGTGGGGGCAGACCTCTCCTGACCTGCCCGCCGCTCCCCTCAGCAGTGTACTTCATTGTTCTACCTGTTCTGCTCCCCACTCTGTCTCTGGTGAATCCTCTCACCCTCCACATCTCTGGCCTGTACCCCAGTTCTATATGAATAAATAAATCTTTAAAAAAAAATTAAAGATGCTATGTATTAGCCTGAACCTACTTTTTACTCAAAATCATTAATACTAAGAACTGTATTTCAGCTAAAATATCCAAGTCAACACATTGATTGAGCCTTATATACCACTACCAGAATTATTATGCCTTCTCTAATAGTGTTCAAATGAAATTGCATCTGTACCATAACAGTATTTTAAGAACAATTAAAACCACTGTAACAATTACCTAGTTCTAGGGAAGATAAAATCAAGAACTTAAATTGTTCTTAACTCTTTCAAGAGTCTAAAAATAAGCACAATGCTATGCAAACATTCAGTGTTTTTCATTTAATATGCTAAATATAAACATAACTAAAATATAAACATAACATAACTAAATATAAATATAGTAACCCGAGTTGGAAGCTACCTAAATGTCCATTGACTGATGAATAAAGATGATGTGGTATACAGTTGGTATAGCTTACATGTAAGATATAGAGAAGGCAAAGCATAAGACAAAGACAAACTTTAAAACTAACTCTTGAAAGATGACCATAGAACTGAGACTTGGGATGGGAGAGAACAGGGTGGGGAGAGCAACAATGGACTCTGGTAGGAAAATGTCATGCTTTGGTTGTGGGTACACTAAGAATTTGAGAGCCTATACTTCCAAAACACAGACCAATGATACTTCAGTTAAAAAAAAAAAATCAAAGATATGGTATATACACCTGGAATATTATGCAGCTATTAAAATTCTGCCATTTGAACAACTTGGATGGACCTAAAGGTAATTATGATTAGCAAATCAAAGAAAATGACAAATACCTTTATTTCACTCATGTGTTATGTAGAGAAAACAGATAAACTAAAAAAAAAAAAAAAAAAGTTTTGGACTCTGAGTCCAATCAGTAGCTACCAGAAGGGAAAGGGGAAGAAAATATAGGTAATGGGAAAAAGGGAGACAATGATATGGTTTGCCCTTTTAATGATGACCTTAATGTAGAATATACACCTGTTGATTCCAATGATCAACACCTGAAGTAGTACAATGTTACTTCCATAAAAAAGCAACTAAACTGACTACACACTCAACAGAATATTTAAAAATTAAAATGTGAAGTGTTAATGAGTCAGGTATGTGTTAAGTTTTTAAATGTATCATTCTATTTGGTTTTCAAAATATCCTCATTTAAAAGACTTTATTGTTTTCTTCATTTTCCATATTGGTGACTCAGGGTTACACGTGCTTGCAAATCAGCCCTGCCAACCCACAACAGATTAAGGAAACACAAATTGGGTCATCACTCCCCAAAGCTTGGACTCATAAGCTGTTGTGCTACAACTGCCTGTTACTCTTAAAAACAACTCTCATTCCAGTTTTAAAGCATAGAGATCTGAAGAATTAATTGAGGAAAAGAGAAAGAATACTATTCTGGCCAGTCATGCCTGAAAATGAGGTTCCATTTATTGGTCTAAAAAATGCCTATGTGTATGAAAATAATCTCAAATATACTTAAGTGTAAATATGGAAAAGATTAGATAAAAGTATATATGTTATATAGATAACTAAATTTTACCCACACCTCTGCTTTTTTTAGTTTAATGATAGACAAGCTTGTGGAAAGTTAACTTGTTTGGGATAGTCACTACTATCATTACTTTTAATTGAGAAATTCAATATCTGGTAATTGATTTAACTATGCTTGGGCTCTTCAAACTTAAACTGTTCTTCAAATTTAACTATTTTTTTTGTCATGTCTGCACTCCTGCTTATCACTAGACTAAGTACAATCATATATGTAACAATTTAAAATCAAAGTATAAAGGACTAGAAATAAATGCTAAGTACCTGATATCCAACACTGAATGTATAACAAAATTCTCCATAGAGTTTTGTAAAATCTACAATATCAAGTTAATTTTACCAAGGAAGGACTCAAACAAGTTAGGCAAACTACCCCAAGACTCAGTCACAGGCAGTGCCCAGCCTCAAGTGCAGCCATCCTTGTTACATGTAACAGTGTCCTGAGGTCTGTCACACTGCTGAAATTGGAGGAACGCATGATTGCAATTATCACTGAGAATGAAGATGTTACATAACATTTGTTTAAAAGTGTGTACACACACGATCAAGTCAAAGCATAGCCTCCAAATCAAGTAGGAAATAAAACTGTAAGGTTAAAAAAAAATAAGTGACATGACGAGTCCCTGAACCCCAAAGGTACATAGCTAGGCCCACCGAGTACAAAAATACTATGATAGGGAATTGAGATATTGCTCAATTCAAAATAATCCCACAGGTGCCTGACCATGAATCTTCTAGACAAAATTTACTGAGCCACAGGTAAGAGCACTTGACTGATGCAGGTTGGAAAGGCAAAAGCTGGAAATGTGAATAAAGATAGAGGATCACAGTGAACGGAGCTGAATCATCGTAGAAGCTAGGTATTTACTGGGATTTCCTGCACTTCACCGCCCTTTCCTTCCAGAAGCAGGACTGTGCAGCCTGACCAGAGAATCTGTGATGTCCATCACACTCCCTTTCCAACGTCTGTTTCTTATAACCACAGAGGATTTTTGATTGCTTGCTTGCAAAGCAACCATCTTAAATGATACAGGATACAAGTATAAATGCAGGGTATTTATTTAATAGGCTGTTCTTTTCCAACAGAAAGATAAGTCTGTGCATCAACAATATGATAAACCATATGAGAAGGAGTACTGCATACCACTAAAAGGGAATGAGAATCGGGCCCTCCCTGGTGTTGCAACAGGTTTAAAGCGCAGCACTATGATGTGATCCACAGT